TGCTGCAGTCCACAGGGTCACAAAGAGTCAGACGTGACTGAGCAACTGAATCGAACTAAACTGTACCACTAAAACAGGGTTTGTTTGTTTGTTTCATCTTGTCTGTCCACTAAAATCCCCTAGGGAAGTCCGTAAGAATCCCCGTGCCCAGTTAAGGCAGAACTTCTGGGCCTGGGACCCAGGTATCGGTAAGACTGAAACTCTGCAGGGGATTCCAGTGTGCAGCCAAGGCTGAGAAGGACAGCCTCGTGAGCTTTCAGGGACAGTGGCTCTCAGAAAGACCCTGACGCATGGGGTCACCCATAGGGGTAAGCCGGGAACTCTCTCGAGCTACCCCTCCCCCAGACCCTGTTAAGCCTCTCTCCTCTGAAGAGGAAGCACCCTCTGGGACTAACCACAATGGGCCCAGCAGACCCTGTGTTCAGTGGGGCCACATTATAGGTCTCAGATGCGTTGCAGGCATCAGAAAGTTGAGAACTGATCTAGAGTGGCAGTGTCAAACAGAACTTCCCAGGATGAAGGGATTGTTCCATAATCTGTGTTGTCCAGTATACTCACCATAAGCCACATGTGAAAACTGTGCCCTTCAAATATGACCCAGCAACTGGATTTTACATTTTTATCTAAAATTTTCATTTTAGTTTATTTATTTTTTTTTATTTTTTATTTTTTTCATTTATTTTTATTAGTTGGAGGCTAATTACTTTACATCATTGCAGTGGTTTTTGTCATACATTGAAATGAATTAGCCATGGATTTACATGTATTCCCCATCCCGGTCCCCCCTCCCACCTCCCTCTCCACCCGATCCCTATCAAACTACCAAAGGTATTTTTCACAGAACTAGAAAAAATAATTTCACAATTTGTAAATAGCCAAAGTAATCCTGAGAAAGAAGAATGGAACTGGAGGAATCAATCTGCCTCACTTCAGACTATATTACAAAGCCACAGTCATCAAGACAGTATGGTACTGGCACAAAGACAGAAATATAGATCAATGGAACGGAATAGAAAGCCCAGAGATATGTCCACGAACCTATGGTCACCTTATCTTTGACAAAGGAGGCAAGGATATACAATGGAAAAAAGACAACCTCTTTAACAAGTGGTGCTGGGAAAACTGGTCAACCACCTGTAAAAGAATGAAACTAGAACACTTTCTAACACCATACACAAAAATAAACTCAAAATGGATTAAAGATCTAAATGTAAGACCAGAAACTATAAAACTCCTAGAGGAGAACATAGGCAAAACACTCTCCGACATAAATCACAGCAGGATCCTCTATGACCCACATCCCAGAATTTTAGAAATAAAAGCAAAAATAAACAAATGGGACCTAATGAAACTTAAAAGCTTTTGCACAACAAAGGAAACTGTAAGCAAGGTGAAAAGACAGCCCTCAGATTGGGAGAAAATAATAGCAAACGAAGCAACAGACAAAGGATTAATCTCAAAAATATACAAGCAACTCCTCCAGCTCAACTCCAGAAAAATAAATGACCCAATCAAAAAATGGGCCAAAGAACTGAACAGACATTTCTCCAAGGAAGACATACAGATGGCTAACAAACACATGAAAAGATGCTCAACATCACTCATTATCAGAGAAATGCAAATCAAAACCACAATGAGGTACCATTACACACCAGTCAGGATGGCTGCTATCCAAAAGTCTACAAGCAATAAATGCTGGAGAGGGTGTGGAGAAAAGGGAACCCTCTTACACTGTTGGTGGGAATGCAAATTAGTACAGCCACTATGGAAAACAGTGTGGAGATTTCTTAAAAAGCTGGAAATAGAACTGTCATTTTAATTTAACTTTTAATTTAAATTTTCAACTAAAATTTTTCATTTTAATTATATTTTATTTTAATTAATTTAAGCTGAAATGGAAATAATAAGTGTGCCCAACAGTGAGTATATTGTGCAGCATGGATCTAGAGCATTACCCTAAAACAGCTGTCCTAATTACACTTCACAATCATTATGCATGCATGTGTCTATTGCTTAAGAATATTATGTATCCAATCCATCCTTTTTCTATAAAAAAATTCCATTTTTTTAACCAAGGCATATGAGTAGATGGGTGGTTTGTTCTCTGAAACCCACTTCCTAATATGAACCAGCAATTACTTCCAGGTTGACAGTCACATGATGTTGAGCTAACTAGAAATTTCAAGGTCATCTACTCTAGAATTACAAGTTGAAATATTCAATGGAGCCATGCCGGTAAGACAAATGAGATAAGCACGTCATTTGCACATTAAACCCATAGATACAGAAACACTCTGGCATCTTCTTTGGATACTCAGTCTCTCGGTCTGGCTGTACTGGTCCCCCATCCTCTTCTAGTCTAGCGTTTCCACCTGCAGCTCTAGTCCCTCATCTCCAGAAGAGAAAACTCTGATGCAGGTCAGGGCCCCTGACGTAAGAGGGGTCAGTATTTAACTAAGGTCAAAAACACATCAGCAGATAGAATTTTAAGGCTGGGATAGATTTGTGAGGTCAGCAGATCTAACGGGCTTGGAAAAACCACTTGACTCCATCATATTCCACTGTTCTACTCTATAAAATGGGACTATTTGTCTCTACCATACTCACCCACGGTCATAGGATTGGCTGCTGCCAGATCCAAAACTAGAAGCCCAGTTAACTCTGCAGTTTCCTTTATAGTAAACTCTTACCCAAGCTTCTTGAAATAAGCCAATGAAGTCAGATCTGTGGACATGCTTTAAATTTCTGTGTGAATAAATATTAGTGTAGAACACTACATTTCCATACTAATACTGATTGCTATCATTACTCTTGATCTTAAAGATGACATAGAAAGCTATAGAACACTCCTAAATAGAACCAAAAGTAAGTTCAGAATATTTATAAGTTATAACTTGAATATTTTAAACTCTGCCAGCTTATAACTGTCATATAAGTTACTTGCATTGGTTAGGAATTATTTTTAGCTGATAATGACAGAAACTGGATATCACAGAGGATTGAATAGCAGAGATTATTATTATTTGCTCACGAAAATTAAATCCATAGATGTAGAGTCCATGGCTAGTATGGAGGCCACCAACATACTATTAGTTCAGTCAATGACTGGATAAACACCAAAGATAATCTGGATTGTCCATCTTCCTAGGGAGAAACTGTTTGGGATTTTTAGATGGCAATTTTTCTAATTTCTTACAACTCATAAGGTCCTACGTCTGGCTGGCATGCCATTTTGAGAACTTCTGCTTTCTAAACACAGTTTTCTGTAATGGTACCAAAGAGTAACAGTGAAAAAACATACTATGTCCCATAAACAATACAACCATAATCCAACCATTTATGTACAATCCAACATCACTGCATATAACATTTTTATAATGTTTCTGGTTACCTGATAATTGGTTTCCAGAAGTGAAATACAGGCTCTAGACATGTATTAGCAAAATGCCCTTCTGAAAGGTTGGAACTACTTTTAATATCACTATTAGAGGATGAGAGCTTTGCTCACCATATCCACCAGCCGTAAGAATGTTCTACTTTTTTCTCCCAAAGGTAGGCAGTAAGGGAAAAGAAGGCATGTATAAATAGATTAAACTGTTGTTTTATTTTTTTACCCTCTGAGTTATGACTGGGCAGCCATGAAATGCAGTTCAGTGGGTGTGATGACCTTATAATGGAGGTTGTTGGAAGAACAACCTCTTGGGATGCCATAAAAGCCATCACATAAGGTGGCTGCCATCAATGAGACAAGAGACTCACCGAAGTCAAGAAGGTCATCAAAGAACAATCTGAATGGTATAGAGGGGGGTCTCAAACACATGTCCTTAAAAATGTCGCCTAGTTCATTTTGATACCCCCACCACCTCTCTCAGTACACACACACACACCCCATCCACAACATCACTTAGGAAGCATTGGATAAAAAGTTAAGTTGTTGCTAACCACATATTTCAAGCAATTTCAGACTTGCTAAAAAAAAAAAAATCAACAATATAGTAACCATGTTATTACAAGTCATTAAAATTTATCTGGTTTTTGAGATCAAATCTGCAGATTAGCTGACTATCATTGGTAAAACTGCTCCAGCTTCCCAGTAGCTTTGGCCCTTCTGGAATAAATGTACACATCTACAGTGAACACAACTATTTCTAACATGGAGGTGTGGCTTTAAATAAGTATTTATGTTTTACCATGATCACATGAATATATTTGAGAGAAGCATAGGACTGGTATTAAGGTTTATGAATGACTGAAGTGCTTTAAGCAGTATTTTTAAGAGAAGTTGAACTTTTAACCCATAGTTAAAAGAAATGGAGACGTGAAATTTGGAGCATGTTGGGAAGATCTCAAAACACAAATTTGAGATTACTGGGGAAAAGGGGACAAGCATGAAGGAGGGACACATCTAGCAGAGGTAGGTGGGTGGCAAAGGAAGAAATGGCACAGACTCCCTTCAAGCAGGAAAAGCCAGTTCACGTGGCCGGAGGCGCTCAGCAGCAATGGAAGACTGATGTGTTTAGAGCCGTGAAGAGCCATTAGGAGTTTAAAGTTGCTGAATGCCTTGACCCCAGTGCCAGGCACAAGCGATTATTGGGGGTCATAATGCAGAGTAATCTGGAGTGGATGGAGAGAGTGTGTTAGAGTTGAGAACGAAGAACGTTAAAGTAATCCGAGGAGTAAACGAGGAACAGAGTAGAGTACAGACCCCGGGAAGAACTGGAAAACGCCAGGCATGTCCGGAAGGGCCTGTCAGAAACTGTCCAGCAGCCCCTGGGGCGTGTCCCCTGGGGGAGCACCCAGTCCTGGCAATGGCGCCAACACGGCGGCGGCCCTCCTTCCGCGCGGCGGGTGCTGCCTCTGCGTCCAGGAAACGCTAGCGACTTCCTTCTGTCTTCCTGTCGTGAGGGCCATAGGGTTCGCTCGGTGTCTCCAAACCCTCGCCGAGCTATTTCCATCCCCAGCAGGCACGGTTTCTTAGTGGGAGCCGTCACCCCTTTCAGGTGACTGCTGGCGACAGAAAGGAGGTGAAGACTGCGCTGGAGCCTGGCTCACTGGATAATAAAGATGGCGTAGGAAGAGAAAGCAGTAGGCGAAATTTCCAGCAGCGGAAGAACCGGAAACGGAAGCCGCGCTGCGCAGACGCAGAATGCAGGTCACCGGCAGACATTGTATTGGAGCGGGAGGGGGTCTGGAGCCGAGTACCGTTTGGAATGCAGCGAGCGCAGTCCTGCAAGACGGATCGCATTAATATGAAAAGAATATTATTGAAATCAAGAAGGTACAACAGAGGGCAACCAGAAAGATACAAGGACTCGAGCACGTTAATTATTTACAAAGGTTGGAAACAGAGTTCTACTTTTCTCTGTTAAAAAGAAAAGAAAAGAGAATGGAAAGGGAATTCACGAAGAATGTCCTGGATTCCAAGGTGGCAGGATAGAAGGAGCTTTGCAAGGACTAAAAGCCAAAAACAAAGAAAAAAGAGGAGGCTGGTCCCTAAGCCCAGAAAGAATATGGTATTAAATAAGTTTTAGTGGGATTCCTTTACAAAGACAGGGGTAAATTTACAGTACAAACTACTATGCAGGCTCAGATTGCTAATATTTGTGTACTGTACATAGGCCTATGTGTCTTTATACAAAGACTATATATTTTAAGGAGTTAAGCATTACAAAGGAAAGTAATTATGGGGTGACACAATTGCAGATTCAACTAGACTTACAGAGATTTCCTGTTCTAAAATTTCCTGTGTTCTGTAGTCCTTTCATGTAATTTTCAGTGTTTTGAGTGCCCATTGGCAATACAGACTAAACACTAAAACAATCTAGAATGATAGTCGAGTGAAACTTACAGGAAAGTAAATCCAAACTTGAGCTGTCAAAACACTGCTTAAAAAATCGGTATATTGACACTCAGTCAAACCAAGGAAAAACACTGCAGAATACCTTCCAAGAACGGAACCAAAAAGGCACTGAAAATTCCTATTACCCTGGCCATTAGTACCCAACCCACCCCAAACTCACAATGGACTCTGAAATTTTCAATCTATGTTGCATACTGTAATATAAACAAGGATTTGCTAAATGCTTATCATACATTCTGCCATCTATTTTGAAACATGAAATAGAACGGTAAGGCTTGGTCTTTGTTTCCAAGAAGTTACTACTGGTTTTCTTGTTCACGGCTGAAGCCCTAGGACTGAGCACTGTGTTTGATATTTAATAGATGCTCAATAAATTGGGAAGTTATAAGGGACAATGTCGGCTACTGTTTATGGAGAACCTAAAGAGGATTAGGCTGTTTGAATACCTTCTTGCTTTTAATCTTCATGAAGACGCTGTGAAGTAGGTAGTTGAATTCCTATTTTATGAAGACATTAAGATGCTAAGTCCATCATGTAAAGGCACACAGCCTATAACTAGCAGAAAGGGGGCGCAAGGCCAGACGTATGCACCTCCCTCAGAGCCATGATGCAGCCTATAATCTAGTTGTAAAACTAAGATAAATGCATGCAAAGCAACAATAAGTGATACAAAATGCAAAATACTTTTAAGCTAGGGAATAACAGCTCAAACGCCACATGTTGTAGAGATTCTGAGACAGCGAAGCCCAGAGTGATCAGGAATGTCTTAGAGATGGGACCATAGGAAGGGCCTTGAACAATGAGAGGGTAGAGGGAGCGGTCACCCCAAACCAGCTGTGTGGTGAGCTCATGGCAAAAGTTAATGGTTGCAGACCAGACTGGAAGTATCTGAATGAAGAGCCTCTCACAGAGGAAACTGGAACACACACTTGCCTCATGATAACCTCTTTGTGACTGGGAGAGGGAGAATGTTTAAAAACACCCACTCTGGTCTCAGACTTTTGCAGGGAAAGTTGATGTCATTCACGGTAAGAAGGCAAAGATTTCTACTGCCCCTTTCCATTTATGCCTAAGGTTTCAGCTGACCCATGTCAAACAAGGAGTGGTAATTTCAAAATTCATATTAGTGTTTGTGGCTGCTAAAACTATGCTGTCCAAGACAGTGGGCACTGGTCATATAAGACTGTGGAGCATGCGAAATGTGATTGGACCAATTTGAGGTGCGCTGTAAGTGAAATACACACCAATTTTGAAGACTTAGTATTAAAAAAAGAAGATAAAATACTCTATTATTTTTATATTCATTGTATGTTGATGGTATTTTGGATGTATTGGGCTAACTACAATATATTATTATGACTAATTTTATTTGTTTCTTTTTACTATTTTAATGTGGCTACTAGAAAATTTAAGCTTCCAAGGTAGCCCAGGGGCAAAGAATCCTCCTGCAATGAAGGAGACATGGTCAAGCCCTGGGTCCGGGAGATGCTTTAGAGGAGGAATTGGCAACCCACTCCAGTTTTCTTGCCTAGAGAGTCCCATGGACAGAGGAGCCTAGTGAGCTACAGTTCATGGGTCGCAGAGTCTGACATGACTGAGCACAGCCCACACACAGCAACAAGTGGCTCACGTTATATTTCTATTCATCATGTATTAGTTTCCAGGGATGCCATAACAAAGCACAAAAGACAGCATGGCTTAACAGCAGAAATTCTGAAGGCTGAAAGTTCAAGATCAAGCTATCAGGATTGGGTTCTTCTGCGGCCTCTCTCCTTGGCAAGAAGATAGCTATCTTCTTTCTGTGTCTTCAGTAGTCTGTGTGTGTGTGTCTGTGTCCCAACTCCTTCTTCTTATAAGGACACCAGTCATAGGGATGAAAGCCCACCCTGATGACCAGACTTAACCTTAATGACCTCTTTAAAAGCCCTGTCTCCAAACACAGTCATCCCTCGGGGCGTTAGTTCCAAAATACCAAAAGCCATGGATGCTCAGGGCTGCCTTAGTGGCTTGGATGGTAATAGGGATGCAATGCAGGAGAGCCAGGTTCAGTCCCTGGGTTGGGAAGATCCACTGGAGAAGGGAATGGCTACCTGCTTCAGTATTCCTGCCTGGAGAATTCCATGGACAGGGGAGCCTGGCGGGCTACAGTTCATGGGATCACCAAGAGCTGGACACAACTGAGTGACTAACATATGGATGTTCAAGTCCTTTATATAAAATAGCATAATATTTGCATATATGTAATGCACTTCCTCCTGTATACTTTAAATCATCTCTAGATGATTTGTAACATCTTGTTGGTGTTCAGTCGCTAAGTCATGTCGGACTCTTTGCGACCCAATGGAATGCAGCATGCCAGGCATCCCTTCCTTCACTGTCTCCCAGAATTTGCTCAAACTCATTGATTTGGTGATGCCATCTAACCATCTCGTCCTCTGTCATCCACTTTGCCTGCCCTCAATCTTTCCCAGCATCAGGGTCTTTTCTAATGAGTTGGCTCTTTGCATCAGGTGGCCACATACAATGTAAATTCTGTGTAAATAACTCTTGATTTTTATTTATATACATCACTTTCTTCAAAATATGACCTACCCATAAATCTCTCCCCTGTTCCAAATTGTATGTGGAGGTGATGTAACTAACTTATCCTTACATCTTTTTATGATTGTTTGATTTTCTTTTTTTTAATTTGTAACTTACACCTGATCATAAGAGTGGTGTGTTGGCACTATTTTCAGAACAATCATAACCAAAAAAAAAAAAAAAAAGCCCACATATAGTATACATCTTTTCTCCTTGGCTAGTTAGCCAAGTGTTCAGTGATTTGAATGAAGAGACAAGTTTTTTAAAAAATTCTAATGGAAAAAAAAGTAACATGTTTCCTTCTAGACCAAATGCAGTTTCCACAGGTCTCTGAGGGAAAAAAAGAAAGAAAGAAAAACCCTGGGGTACTTCTGAAGATTTGAAGTCATCTCTCTCTAGTTCTTGCTACTCAGACTGTGGTCACTGACCAGTGACATCTGCCACACAGAAGCTTGTTATAAGTAAGGGCTCCCATGAGACCTACTGATTCCAAATTGGTGCTTCAAAATACCCCCAGATGATCTCTATACACTCAAAAGTTAGGGAACCACTGCTCTAGATAGACCTCAGGTATAGTGCCTAAATCCTGACAGAGTAGAACTGTAATCTCCCTACAGCAACATTTGGGGTTCAACATTATAGGCAGCTCTTCTGTAAGAACTTCAGAACCCAGACAACAAATATCTGTGACCCGCCCCAACACTGAGTGGAATCATGGCAATCCTCAGGATAGCATGTCTTCCTACATGATGGTGGAAATTCCGCAGCAGGCTCCCAAACTATTTGTCAGGGGCAGTCCTCACATAACCAAATGGATTGCCTGGCACTGCAGCCCACAGCCAGAGAGGAGTTCTCACTGACCTTTCTGAACTCTGTGGCGAGGAGTGTGAGAAAGGGTGTGTGGGTCTTGGAATAGAGACAGAAAACTGAAAGGGGCAGAGAAGCAGAGAGAGCAGCTTGCGTGTGCTGCGCAGCCAAGGATGGATCACAGCCCGGTACAAAGAGGAGACCGGGGCAAAGCAGGAGGGTTAATGACACCTTCCTCGGGCGAACCGAACCACACAGGGATCACAGCCCGAGTCTGGACAACATCAGGTCTTTCAAGAATAGACAGCTTTCTTGGCGCTCCTAAAGGAGTTACCAGCCAACCCTGCAAAATCCTACCATTTCCTGGCAGCTTTGGGGGCCAAAGGACTTGCCCTCAGGCCATGAGTCCCATCAACATTTACACGTCAATTTCAAAGTGGAAGTTATGAAAGGAAAAGGTCCAGTTGCTCAATCTATTTCAGTAATAATAATAATAGTAATCTAAAGGTCTCTAACCTGTTAACGATGCACTGATAAGCCCTGAGTTTGCCATTATTGGAAGAAATGATGCTGGGCCAGAAAGGAGACCACAGATTGATTGATTTTTTTAAATTTAATATTAGTTCATGGGGAGTCTGGCTTCTTTATTGTGGCAGCACCTGCTCATGCAGTTATAGTTACAAGGCCTGTTGGAGAAGCTCTTTGGTAAAGGCTTGTTTCTCTTATAGATACCAGTTGGGTTGAGTGGTTAATATCCCAATAGTTTCCTGTAATAATGGGCTCAGTCAATTCTGGCCCATATTGTTAATTCATACAGATATTTTTGCATACACACACACACACACACACATACACACACGTTCTGCCAAAATCAACATCATTAATTAAGTTGTGGAGGAAATATTATCCAAGTCAATTCTTCAATTAATCACTAACTTCAGGTCAACGATGTGAACAAACAAGTTGCTTAAAGTTCACGTTTTGAACGTAAGTCAGTTCTAAAAGCTCAATGTTTTGAAGATTTGTTTATTTCTGACTGCGCGGGGTCTCTGTTGCTGCACAGGCTGTTCTCCAGTTGTGGCGAGTGGAGGCTGCTTCCCAGCTGCCACGCACAGGCCT